TCAACTAGACTCAGTTGATTAACAACACTACAGACAACTATTAATTCCTTAAACAAAAAAAAGAAGGCAAGAAAGGGATGTTTATTAAATGAAAGAAAATAAAAATTTGTTAGGGTGATAATGCTTCAATAAAAATTTAAAAAATGTATATTTGATAGGAGTCGTAATCTTTTGTTTAAAACTTACTATTTTTTGAAGGAGGGGGGGGGGAGGCCTCTAATGGGAAAGGGTTATCAATTACATTTTTGAATGAAATAGGGCAAAATATATTGCAGTAAAAATTTATTTAATTGAATCAGGCGCGTATGCAGGAATTTGGTCTGGGGGTAGGGGGGGGGATAATAAAATTTTTTAAGAAATATTATTGTTTTTTAAAAATATCAAGCATAAATTTATTAGGAATAATAACTATTTCTAATACACAATTTTAAATTTAGGTGAATTATAAAAAAAATTATATGTAAAGAATCACTTAAATGACCTAAAATAGAAATTTGAATTTTTTGAGCCTTTACACAAAAAGTTTCTTAGGAATAATTGCATTTTATATGTTATATATATACAATGTAAAATTCAATCTTCGTTATGATTGAGCTAATTTTTCAATTATCTCATCCTTGCTTGTCGTCAAATGCCTATGAATATTCAAAAGATCCAAACCTTTCAATCTACTTTCAGATGTTGTATTTCTTGGTATATTTTTCAGAGACCTGCAGGCCCGGCCCCCGGGCTGGACAGTATTTTAATTTTTTTAAATATACCCGGGTCGGGCCGGAATTTTTTTTAAAAAAACACCCAAGCCGGGCCTGAAAATTTTTAAAAAAAAACCCAGGCCAACCCGTAAAAAATCTTTAAAAAAAATCCGAGCAGTGCCCTGCAAATAGAACTTCTGCAGGCCTCTGTTATTCTTCTTAAAAAAGAGAATGTTCTCTCATTAGTTTACTAATGGGAAGAGTTTATAAACCCATTTAATACATTGGAAATTTAATCTAAAATGTGTTTGAAATAATGCAGAGCATCCATAGCATTTTTTGGGACTATATCAACCAATTAATCTTAGTTATTCAGCTAGTAAGGCATCATAAGATACTTTAACATCTTCATAATAAAAATCTAACAAATATTTTTTTTTCTATCACCATCTGAAAAAGGTTGGGAAGGTGGAAGTAATATTTGCAGATTAGTAAGTGCTGCATGATGAATTAAAAATTCATATTTGGGTTATAAATGTATCTGTATTTAAGATATACTCTTCTACTTATATTATATTAATGTTTTAACGATGAGCTTGCCTTGCTACAAGTCGAGGGAGACAAATATTAAATACGTATAACTCTGCTTTTGACTCAACAATAAAATATAAAATTCTTCATCAACATTAGCCCTAATTACCTTCAGATAAAATGCTCTCCGCTATTCTCATCTTCTTAATCAAGTCAATATCAAGTTTTTGAAAGGTAATACTTAAAATAGTTGTATAATTAAATAATACATTCTAATGAGAAATAAAATTTGGTATAAGCATTGAATCCAATAATTTTCTTGCTTTTGAGGAAATATTTCTTTCAGGCTATTGTGATATTTTAGTAATTACAATTAATTGGCTCTTCTAACTCCTTAAAAGCTGTTACTGCTTGATGGCAGATCTCGTTGGACAAGGTTGCAATTTCTTTTTCCCTGTTGGACAAGAAGTTTCAGAAATAATAATTATTTGACTAGAAATTTGAAAATGGTAGATAAATATTACGCCACTAAAAATTTGAAAATAATAAGTAAATATTAAACTTGAAATCGAAATTAACTGATAAAATAACTTAGTAGATAAATGTGATAATAAATGTAATTAAATATATATATTTAATATGAGATACGAATAAATATTAACAAATATAAATTAATATAAACAATAATATTTTTGAAAAATATATCCGGCATCTGCATTTTTTGGATTTGGGGTGGGGGGGGGGATTTGTCCCCCTGCCCCCCCGCTGCGTACGCCAATGAATTGAATTATAGACCGATTCTACTATACTTAGGTTACTAAGTCATTTGAAATAAAAGATTTCTCGCCAAGCATGGAAATTTATTTAAATAAAATTTGCACCATTATATTTACAAAAATATTATATTATAAAATCAACAAATATTTTTTTATCTTGATTTATATATGTCGTAATTTTTAGATGGATCATGACTATCCGGGATCTTCACGGGATTTAAAGAGATAACTAAAAAATTAGGGTTGATAATTAAGGAATGATAATACGGGATTATCACGTTTTAATCGTGTTAAAGAGGAATCGGAATCTTATTTTAAAAGCGTTTTCCACGAGTTTCGTTGTTTTTAATTTTCATTTTTGTTTTTTTTGGCCTTATGATATAAGATGTCTAGTATAGGGTATCATTCGATAGCTAATCAAAAGATTTATTCAACTGGAGGTCAATCTCTGCCCCAGTGATAATACCGTATAGTTCTTTATCCTTTAAAAAATTGTAATTTTAAAGGGATCCCTTTAAATCCTGTGAAGATCCCGGATAGTCATGATCCCTTTAAAAATTACGACATATATATTAACAATTATCTATAAATGTTGATTTGCTAAATCTTTTAATGCAGTTAGGAGCAGATTTAGGCAATACCGCGAATACTTGTATCTAAGATACAAGATTCTTTTATATCTTGTACTCAGTATCTTTTTGACATTTTTAATAAGATAGTAGTATCTGTATCTAAGATCCTTTATTCTGAAAAGAATCTTATATCTTTTTCATTTTCTTGACAAAAGATATAGATTCTTTTTAATATTCATGTTTAATATTTTACATATCACTATATATATCTTATTCGGGAATCTGTATTAATTTCCTTTTTTTTCACCATATTTTAAATAAATATAATGTAATGGCAATCAAAATTAGCTAGAAAGTTTACAACTCATATAAAGGAGATAGAAAAAAAATTATTACACCAAAAAGAAATAAGTATATATTTTATATATAAATGTAACTCGATAGAATATCATTACCAATTTTATGTAATATTTTTTTAATTTGTAGGATGATTAACACTCATGGTAGTGAAATTTAAATTATGGAAATAAGTTCCTGTGAATTAAATCCAAATCTTAAAATTTTATATGAAAATTTTTTTAAAATAATTGTTAAAAATGACATTGTACAGGCTATATGTAAAACCTGTATAAACAAAAAAATAATCAATGGTTAAATACAAATGTTGTTAAACATATTAAAGTATATTATTTATGTGTGGTTAAAAAAGGTATAGGTTTTCTTAAATATTCAAGTTTACAATATTGTCTACCTTTATTAAAAGCTGCCTCAGGTGGTATGGGCAATAGATTTTAAGAAAATATTTTCCTATGATTTGAATATGAGGCTTTTTTGACATCAATATCACATCCATATTCTAAGAACTTATGGATTGAGTCAGATGATAAAAAAAAATACTTTCAAAATATATTAATAAAAGAAGCCCTAAATGTAGTACCAAAGTATATAATCAAACTCAAACTATAACATAGAGATTTAACATCTAATAAAGAAAATGATGATTATTTTTCTTTTGGTGAAACAAATGTTGCTGAGTTCAATAATACAAATAACATTGAACGGAAGTTTTAAATTATATTAAAGAAAGTAGGAAATATTTTATTAATATAATAATGCAAAATCTTCATCAGCTCCAATTGAAAGGTAATTTAGTTTTAACACAATGTTAAGTAGGCCAAAAAGGCAAAGGTCTAATGATAAATTATTTTAAAAATTTAATTATCTTATAAAATAATGAATCAATTTTAAATACTCTTTTGCAAATTAATATTTCAACTCCCATTAAATATATTAGTCTCCCTTCCCTATCTATGCTAAGAATGGGCTATTACTACTATGCCTGATTATTATAATAAATTCATCATTAAATATTATTAATTATTGTAAATATTCATTCATTATATGCGTATGTTATGTTCTTTACAAATAAATAATAAAAAATGTATTTATAAACTATTCAAATTTAATTGACAGTGATAATTTAAAAGTATCTTGTATTTAAGATACTTTTAAATTATCTTTTAATATTTTGAAAAAGATACTAGTATCATCTAAGATTCATTTATTCACAAAGAATCTGTGTATCTAGATTCTTTTTTTCGGAGAACCTGCCCAACTCTGGCTAGGAGCTATATTTAGGCTTAATTAAAAACTTAGAATAGCTAGCGATTTATTTAAGGAGGGGGTGGGGGGTAGGTTAAGGTTTTAAATGGAGATTTGCCTCCAGTAGATTTCTTGTCATATAAACGCTGGTTTAATAACACAATTTAGAAAATCTGGGTTGAAATGAGAATCTCAAGGGAAAACCCTTATAGCCAGTCACATACGTAATAAGTATCCATTTTATATTTTAGTCCTTGGGGCGGGGGCGTATACTCATTGGCAGCTATGCCGGTTCCACCTAATAAGGGATTCTTGGTCATTTCTTAGAATTGATATCATTCCTAATGTTGTCTCCAACCTCAATAACCAAGGTAAACAAGGAGAAGAGTGCGTCAAAATGACATAGTTGTGTATCTTATAGGGGTGTATCACTCCTCGCTGTAGTAATTTGAGGTTTATACAATGTCACCCCTCTTTGTGGTTCCAAATTTGCTATAAATAGGCAGTAATGAAAATTCTCAAAAAATTTAAATAAATAAACCTTTTAAAACGAATCACACAATATTTTAAATAAAATATATATAAACATTTGTTCACTTTTAATATAGAACCGGTTTCTAAAAATTTTAAAGGTTGTTTTCAGTTCCTAGAAATTTTAAAATGAATTTTGTCTCCGGTTCCTATAAATTTTAAAATGAATTTTGTTCCCGGTTCCTATAAATTTTAAGAATGGGATTCTGAACTCTGGTCAACTTAGATTTGTCCCGGTTTAGGGTTACACTGAGATCAGTAGTTTGTCGGGATAAAAATAATAAAGATTTAAAGAATTACAAATAAACATACCCTTTTATTTTGAGCCATCAATAATAACAAATAAAACATCTTTTTTTATAACAATAATTTACAAAGGGAAAAAATATTTATCAAATATTAAAAAAACGAAAATAAACAAAAAAAAATACACGAATAATACATATAACCTGACTTAGAGTCTATCAAAATGCTTTTTGAAATGTCGTTGAATACAAATCAGCTGTTACGTCATTTAGGATTTTCATATTAAATTTTTTTTAAAATTTTCATAAATTTTAAAACATAAGAGAAACCAAAATTGCTTCACCGTCTGATTTGCATTGAAACACATTTCAAATGATTTAATCGATAGTCTAGGTGGTAATTATATGTAATTGATAATAAATAATAATTTTTTCAAATATATTTATGTCAGGAACAAATATTATTTTTTTTATATAATTTAAATGAAACTAAGTAAGATAAAAGGTTATTTTTTTAATCATCTAAATGTAGATTGAATATAATAAAAGCAAATCAATCTTATTATCGTTTGCAACCCCTAATATCTGACATTTTGTCTAGAATTCGATTTTTTTGGGCATAATTTATCAGTTAAGAGTATCTTCGTCATTTACCAAGAAACCTTTTTTATTCATTCCTTCCATTTAAATTGCAATCGAAATTGATATTTTGTTTCTCCTAAACATTTTCAAAGGGTTGCAATTGAATTCCATTCGCCTCAGACCTCCCCCACAAAAAAATCTCATTTACAAAAATCAACCGTCCTCAACGAGATTTCCGCTAGTGAATTCCGTTGACATAATGAATTTATTGACAAATAGTAATAAAAAATAAACTCTTTAGAATAAGAGATTTACAGAATTATTATATCGTTTAAAAAAAAGAAGTGCTATAAATTTACATAAGTAAAATTTTTTGCTTATAAATATTAAATTGCAATGTTGGGTTAAAGTTTAAATACCCTTTCATTGTTAAAATTATTATTATTGTTAATAATTTGCAATATTGTAATATAATGGATATATTGGGGGGGGGGCTAAGAGGTTAAATATCTAGGCATCAAAAAATTCATTTAAATAATTTACCATGATTCCATTAATGATAGGTTTTTATTATAGGGGTACTTTCAAAAATTTTTCATTTAAATTCTGGAATATTTTTTTAATGACCAAAAAAATGATTAAGGCCGTTGTGTCTAAAGAGCGGTTCTTTTCTCAAACACGACGACTCCCACAGGCAGTAACATTGGGAAATCGATCGAGCTATAGCCTGTCTTGGTCGTGGTTTTACTAGTTGTTTTAAAGGTATCCCCGATAAGGGCATGTTGGAGTTGATCAGCTGCGATAGCAGCATGGTCGGTAAAAGTGGATGTCAATTGATTTGCTATAATTGTGTAATCATCGATTATGGGTGACAATTTATTCGCCGCCATAGCTGGTAAAGGGGGTTGTGTTAACGATTCGGTTGGTATTAGTGTATCACGGAGAAAGTCCGCAACGGATTTTCGGTGCAATGTAGTGGCTATAACAGTCGCCAAGTCTCGACGCATGCGATTCCGTTGTTGCCTCTTGTAACGCTTATATGAATCTGCGAATTGGGCGGAGGAGGAATTATTGGAGTTGACTGAGGCTGAATGGGAGAGAGGGGATTCGGGACTGTAAGCGAAAGTTGCGGTGGCAGAAGTGGAGTCTATAGTCTGTTATATTGTATAGTATGAATAACAATTATAAACTCTTACTTTGATTTCAATATTCAATTAAAAATCCAAATAGCGTAACAAAAAATAATAAAATAAAGGGAATACCCAATATTGACTGATATCGTGAGCATCAATGCATATCTAATGCTCATGTTAAAAGAGTTCCTAGATTATATTACCACATTGAAGAGGCCATATTGTGGGCATCCATGTCTATTTTAGGATATTTAATATAAAATTTATGTCGCCTTTCAATAACTTAGCAACATTTCTTTATTTTTTCAATAAAACAAACGAAATAATACAAAATATGGGTTTTTTCGGTTATTTATTAGTATATCTTATTAAAAACTATCCCCATAAAATCGAAATAAGATTATAAAATCTCCTATTCAAGCAGTTTTTTTAGCCAAAAAAAAATTAGGGGTAATTAAACAGTCCAGTCTAAATATCAAACCAATTTCTAAAAATAGTTTTTGATCAGCACTTTTGACCTTAACTAGATGACCATAATATTTTTTAAGGAAGGCAATTATAATTTTCTAAATATGGCTTTATTCCATATTCCTCCAAATTTAGCATGTATTTGAAATAAAGAGCCAAAAAATTAGGTCTTATATCTGAAAAATTAACCTATATTTAAAAAAAAATATTAATAAAGTGCCAGTGAAATCAAATTTTGTAGGTCAACTTTGCTAAGGATTACCCTTTTCACTCTGACTACTAATTCCATGATTTTGGCATTATAATTTCTGCCGAAAAATAAGTAACATCGTATTTTGTAGATAAACTAAACATGTGATGCAATTAATTTATTGATATTTGTGCAAACAGCAAAATCTTTTATATTCATCACCCTGGTTCACTATTTAAAGTATTCACTTTTGAAAAATGCAGTTAGAATTAGAATTATGTTCTCAAATGTGGGAAAGGTGTTCCAAAATTTTTAATCTCAATTGTTTAGATTTTAGTCAATCCCAAAGTATTGATCTAATGCTAACTATCAGCTATAAAACTTTTCAGCCTTATTGATAAATATTTTTTACAATTTGTCCAGCCCAGTCATCATTTTGTATGCTAGTGTTGTTTAATGGCACGATTTTTAAAAATGGTTAACCTGATATTGCCAAAAATATTACGCAAGCCTGAAGGTTTTGCTCATAGATGGCAGAAAGGTTTGTACATCTAACAAAATTTCGAAACTAGTTTAATTTTTTTGGCTTAGATATTAGATAAGCCGTTTTTAAAAATCGAACCATTTAACACTAGAATGGGCCCATGCTTTTGGGATGGGTTGTGCTGACATATACAGCTGATACAGTATTGGATACTAAATTGATATTGGCCAATACCTTCCATCTTGGCTGATATCTGTGGCCAATCCAAAAATTATTAAAATTTTCTTAGGCAATATTGAGCCATTAATTGATCAGAAAAAGAGAATCTTTGAATGCTACATTGCATTCAATTGGCAAAATAATGCCCTAATTGTTTAATATTGTATTAATAATGACTGTATTTTTTTTAAAGGCTATCTATAATAGAGGTGAATACATGCATTTTTTAAAGGCTATCTATAATAGAGGTCAATGCAGCCTGGCCCAGCCTAAATACCCATTCAATGGGATCAGGAAAAAGATCATTGTTAAAATATTTTCATGAGCCAAGTCATATTTTTGAAAATGTTTTTACAGCTGATAATCAGGTAAATTTATTTTTTCCTTCATAAAAATATATATTGAGATAGGTTGAGTTTAAAGATTGGGATAAAAATAATTATGGACCAGGTCAAAGATAGCAAATTACAGGCTAAAATTTAATTAAAGCAAAGGAAATGCATAAATGGTTCTAAAAAATTTTAAATTTAATCAATTTTATTTTAAAGTATAAATTAATAATGAATTATTTTTTAAAAATAATACAGTTGAAATATAAATATATAGTTTAAGAGATATTAATGGTAGATATAAATATATTATAAAATAAAAGTTAAATCATTACTTTAAATTTCCCATTATTGTATAATTGTTGTTTAGAATTTGCTGAAGAATATTTTTGTTCATTATTAATATAATTTATCAAATATATCTATACTTGATAAAGTAACTAAGGAATTTTTCTTTTTTGATTGTGGCCCCTAATTTACAAATTTTATATAATTCAAAATTTTGAAGATATATTACTCTTTCATAATTTAAGGGCAGCAAAGATTTTTTATTGCCACTGTAACAATTTTTACTATATCAAAATTAAAGTAATATAATTCACTTGTTTGTTTTTTTCTGTAAGGGCTCCAATGAGATTCTTAAAGAATTTTTACAAATTTCTTTATCAAAATATAAATATAACTAGAGATAAAGTTTACTATAGTTGTTTTGATTATATTGATACAGTTTGAGTTTGAAAAATAGATAAATGATTACTGACAATATCCAAAGTACACCTAAACTACTAATCCCAATCAAAATTTGAGTTAATAATAAGCGCGAGGATAAAACTTCTAAATTCTTAAATTTTAAATAGTTAGTTTTCTATAAAATTTATATTTACATCTGTTAAGGTATTATTTTCATAAATGTATTCACTTTTGTTTAATATTTTTTGATCATTATCAAACATAGAATAATAAACCGCGGGGAAAATATTTCCATTTCAATAAAAAAACAATTGTTTTCTACATCTATTTGTCAAATCTCGATGCTTATATTATTTTAGCTAAATCTCGGGCCGTTTTGAAAATAGATCCAAATCGGGCTTTTTAGCAGCAATAGTTTACATAGGAACAGTTCGCATCAAAAAATTTTGAGGATGTGAGGGGAAGGGAAGGGGGTAAGATAAGCTAGGGATTCTAAAATTATTGGAAGGTTATATACAGTAGCGTCACTAGGGAGTGAAGGCGCAGGGGCTCGAGCCCCCTGAAAAATTTGAATAGCTTCCTGAAGCAAAATTTTTTTTTAATGGCTTCTTAATATCCCCTTGAACTAAAAATAAATTTTTTTAATTGCCTTCTGAACGATTTCTTTTGTAATTTTATTGAGTAATATATAGATTTAATTTTATTATTTAAAAATTAATAAGACTATATAAATTTTATTAAATGAATACTATTTTAATTATTAGATTAGATTAGATTAATACATATAAATTATATTTTCACTATGTCAGCTTGCAATCAAATTCTGTGTTAAAGATATATCAATATCACCCACTAAATATTAATTTAGCATTAACAATTGAAGCTTAATTGACTTTTATTATTTAAATTTTTATATAACCCTAATTAAATAAATATAATTATTTATTAAATGAAAATTAACAAATTTAATATTGTAATTAGCTGAGTTCAAAATCACTAATCAACTATATTATTGATTTTTTAATTTAATTATCATGTCTCTTCCTAAAATTATTTTCAAGGTCCAAATCCAAATAAGTATAAGAGAGTTATTTATAAAAAGTAAGTAGACATATAGTTTATAATCCCCTATTATATTTAATTTTTTATAAAGTATTAGGTATAATTAGACCTGGGCGCAGTGTAATGCTTTAAATGAACTCCCGATTTAAATAGATTCTAATTTAGTGATATTGGCATTTATGACTGACATGTTAAGATTTAACCTTATTTTTATTTAGTGATATTGACATATTTGATTGAAGTGGGATTTCTTTTAAATCAGAATTATGAAGAATCTATCAAGATCAATTGTAAATATTGCTGGCCTACAAATTTTGCAAACTAGTAAATAATATATCCTTCTAATATCTTAATTTAATTAATTTTAAAGTAAATTATTTATATATATTTGATAGCATTATAACAACGATTAACTTATAAACTGGCATAAAAACCTATTATTCTACCAATACTCAACTTTGCAAAGTAAATGATTGTAAATTTTTCTAATAATAAATTTTAGCAATTTTAATAGAATATTTATTTATTTTGATACCTACTAATTTTTTATTTCAATTAAGCTATTTAAATCTTTGCTAACTTAAAAAATATTGCAAATTTACAATAAATTAAATTTTTGGATATGATCTTGGGCCTGATAATTTTTCATTCCAATTAAGTTTATTTAAATCTTTGCTAACTTAAAAAATATTGCAAATTTTTTCTATATGATAAATTTCAGTATTGCAAACAAAATGATTCTAAATACACTGAAATATTCTTTATTTTCATTGAATATAAATTAAATTTTTGGATATGGACTTCGGCCATTTATTATATATATTATTTTTTTTTATTCATTTCAACAGTTGTTTTTGATACCAAAATTGTTTCCCCAATCTAATGACGAAAGTCGATATATCAAATAAATAAATTTTGTTTAGTATATTTCTATTCATTTTATTAGAATTCGATGAGATACAGGATTATATCCTTTACCAAAAATATCCATCATCTATGTCTTCCAATAAAGGCTTAAGACGCAATCTGCGAGTTCAGGCCTTGAGATATAAAATTTGTAAGGGTAAAATGCATCACCATTCTCATAATGGTGAAGTTGTTTTGGACCTTGACCGAAGAATTCAACTTCTTCAAATGGTTCACAGTGGATGTGATACTAATGTGTCAGCAATATCTCTTGCTGCCCATTTTGGTATCACCAAGACTTACAGGAAATTGGCTGATAGGTAAAATATATAAAAATTATAATATTATATGATCAATAATATTTTTTTAAATATAAGACACAATAATAAATTGTTTCACCATTTTTATAATAGTGAAACAATTTTAGATTGTAACAGAAGAGTTTAACTTCTTTAAAAAGCAGGGCCGTAGCCAGGAATTATCAATTAGGAGGGCCAAGTGCTTACTTGGGGGGGGGGGGCACTATTTTTTTAAAATCAAACAAATAATTACGCATTCATATAAATTTTTTCCTATTTTTATCAAAAATTTAATAACAAAATAATACTATAATATGAATATACAAAACAAAATATTACTATAATATGCATATACAAAACAAAATATTACTATAATAGAATACGGCGATTTTTATTTTTAAATTTTAATATATTCTGCTTTATTCTTTTTTCATACGCCATTAATACTAAATTTTGTTTACGTTTATCCTTCATAGACTCTCTACTGCTCTATAAAACTCTCTTTAATGTAGAGAACGAGGCCTCACAAGAAGCCGTTGATATCCCAATGATTATCGCTGCTGAGTAGCATTTATATAATTCTTTAAATGCATGAATATATTTTTTTTATACATAATATGTAAGATATTTTCAAAATTATGATTTTCTTTAGCTTCCGTAGCTATCAATCTATTTGCTATCTTAATTTCATGATTCAGTGTTTCCATATTTAAGTTTAACAGGGATTTTAATGGGACCATTTTATCTGATAAAAAATAATCAGGGTCAAGGGGGGACAATGTATTAAAAGATGAAAAAAGATTAAAATCATCTTCTGTAAATCGGTCTAAAAAACGATCCACAAAGTTATCTATAATTTCATAATATATCCTTTTTAAAGAACTCCAATTGGAGTCCTTTTCACAATCGAATTTTAGTTTGCTATCAACTAAAAAATCTTGGAAATTTTTAGGCGTTTCACGTACCCGCGATGATTTTTGGGGAGTAAGATAAAATTTTGATAAAAGTTTTTCAGCCTTAATCATATTCAAAGCAAAAGAATTATCACTTCTTTTATTTTTTAATATATTGATAGTAGAATCAATACAATTTTTAGCATCCACTAGATTAGTACCTACTGATTGTACCTACTGATTGTACCTACTGATTGTAGATACTTATTTAGTGGATCTATTGTAATTAATATCTCATAAATTATGATGGCTAATATAATTTAAGTTATATTAATACATTAAGATAAAAGACCAGAGGCTTCGACTGAATCATGAATTGAAACCTCTGAATTAAGAGTTCTATTAGAAAAGTAAAATAATACTTCACCAATAGCCTCAAAATTCTCATAAATAATGCGAGATGTTTCCAAATGACCAGTCCATCTCTGGTCTAAAAGTCTCTTAAGGGTGTGGCCTGATTTACAGGATACGTTAAAACGCCTGAAAAAATTATACAATGCATTTGATAAATTAAAAAAATTAGAAATAATAACAATATTATTATACCAATTTTGAACCAATTGATACAACTTGTGGTTGTATCAATGTATAAAAGGAACATTTTTATTAATTTTTTTTTGAAGAAGTGTTTGCACTCCTCCATTTCTGACAGACATAACGTTTGCACCATCATATGCCTGGCTTATTATATTAGCTGAATTAATATTTGGATCATTAAGTTGCTTTAAAATGCAATCTGTAATGCTTTCAGCAGAAAGAAACTCTAAATTAATGATTCCTATTAAATTTTCTTGGATTTCTCCAGAAAAAATATAGCGAATTAGCTCAGGTTTTCACAACCTGAAGCATCTTTTGTCTTATCAGCCTTAAGACAAAAAAAAGGCATCTCGCTTTTATTATATTTGTCGGAAATATGTTCAAGCACCATATCTGCCATAATGGATATTACTTCGTTTTGAATCTGTGGTGATGTATACTGGGCATTTTGGGGTATAAATTTCATAATTTTATTTAATTCAGGGTCTTTTTGGATGGTGTAGGAAAACATTGCTATAAATAGCCCAGAAGAATAAATTATGTTTTCATCTTTTGCAGCATCCGTAATATTTGTTGAACCAGTCCCATGGAAAGGTAGCTCTTGTATGCTAAGAAATAGCATCAAATCAAATATTGATTAAATATAATATTGATTACGATTAATTTGATCACCTCCCAACATTTTAGTTATTTCTGTACCTTTATTTATATTTTGATTTTTATCATGCCATATTGTAATTGAATTTAAATGAGCTTTTGAGCTCTCGTGTTTTAGCAGTCCCTTCTTGGCAGCTAACGCATTTTTCCAATTTCTGAATCCCGTTTGTCCAAATTCATCACTTGGATTACACAAGTATTTCCTACATGGAAAACAAAAGGCAGCGTCAGCTTCTACACTATACTCCAACCAGTCTCGGCCTCTATACCATGATTTTTGAAATGATCTTTGCCTTCCATGGATATCTTTTTTCGCGTAATTGTTTAATTTGATTTGATTTATTCTGGCCAAGGTCACCTGAGATTTAAATTGAACCATTAGAGGACTTTTTGACACTAAAAATATTATAATTAATAAATTGTAATGAGGGAAAGGGTCATAAATAATAATGGTCATCAGGATGGGCGAAGGAAGGGCATGCTGAAAATGAACAAACACAAAATTTATCTTGTATTTAAGATACAAGTATTTGCTATACTGTAGTGCCAAACCCTGATGAAGATTATCAGTAAAGTTGAACAGTAAAATTATAGATATTCAGTATTAAAAACTAGCATAAACATTATATCTTTAAAGATTAACAAAAAAATATAATATTTTTATATTAAATCAATTACTAGTTGCCTCTTGACAATGAGAGACTGAGCTGCTAGATGAAGATGATTGAGTATCTTCTTCGTCTTTATTTGTTTTAAAATCAAAATGTAATAATGAAACACCATAATCTCCTACTCCTATTGATATTGTCAAAAATATATAAATAGAAAAATTTGGGTTAAATTTTAAACTATTTACCATCTTCTTCC